TGAAAATTCTGAAATTGTTAGGATTGCTAGGCCTCCCTGCAGTCTGAGATCCCAGTGCAGACTTGATACCCTCTAGTGGAAGTTTTCTGCATTCACACAGCCTCTCTGGCTTCAACCCCAAATCGCGGCGAGGGAGGCCCTCATTCAATCACTGGAGAGCATCCCAAAAGAACAGTCAGCTGAAAGATACATGTTTCTATGTCAGTGTCCATGGGGGACAGAGGAAAGACTATAGGGTGGAGGGGAGATGTACTGAGCACTTGGTTCAGAAGGAACTCTAAAGGAAGTCCTTGTTGGTATATAAATGAACTCAGATACTTGTATGTTATTAATAGGAGCTCAATACACATCGCATGGGACTTTGGTTTTTAGGGCTCTAGAGAGTGACTTTTTTTTTTTTTAATGTTTATAATTATTTTTGAGACAGAGACAGAACATGAGCAGGGGAGGGGCAGAGAGAGAGGGAGACACAGAATCCGAAGCAGGCTCCAGGCTCTGAGTCATCAGCACAGAGCCCAACACGGGGCTCATACTCACAAACCACGAGGTCAGGACCTGAGCTGAGGCTGGATGCTCAACCGACTGAGCCACCCAGGTGCCCCAAGAATGACTTTTTTTTTTTAAATTTTTTTTTTCAACGTTTATTTTTTTGGGGACAGAGAGAGACAGAGCATGAACGGGGGAGGGGCAGAGAGAGAGGGAGACACAGAATCGGAAACAGGCTCCAGGCTCTGAGCCATCAGCCCAGAGCCCGACGCGGGGCTCGAACTCACGGACCGCGAGATCGTGACCTGGCTGAAGTCGGACGCTTAACCGACTGCGCCACCCAGGCGCCCCTGTTCAGCACATTTATAGAGTGCCTGTTATTGCCAAACATTACTCCAGGCATTGCTTTTCAGGTTTGTGGACTTTCCTAGGGTGCCCAGCATTTGAAAACAGGCTCCCAAGCTCCTGAGCCTCATGCCTGCAGCCATCCAAGCCCTTCTGGAGTGTCTTCCCCAAGTTCCCAATGCTAAGGTGTTAGATTTATTTCTGTCTCCCTCCTCCTGCAGAGGTAATCCCTGAGAATGGAAGTGGGTTAGAAACAGATTACTCTGATCCAGGGGCTTTGCCTTCTCCTCCCTGAATGTGGCATGGTGGTGGGGGGGGGGGGGGGGGGAGCGGAGAGGGGAAGTTACAAATAGCCTGAAATTCCCTTTTAGGATTATTGCTTGATTTAGCCAGCTGGGGTGAAAGGGGAGCAAGAAGAGGCAAGGGATTAACTCTAGACTGGGCTTGAACAGCAGGATACATGGGCTTCCTTTCTGGCTGAGCCAGATGAGCAATATCTCCTCCCAAACATACCTTTAGAAATAAGGAATTTGAGGCAGGGCAGAAAAAGGTAAAGGAAAAGGCCTTTGTCCTCAGCAGCAGGGATGAGTGGAAGGACAGATGAGAAAGAACAGCTCGTAGAAGAAAGTTGTGCAGCACAGAAAGAAAGGGTCACGTGTGGGCTTGGAAGTTACCCGCATTCCGGGGATCTTAGCTTCAACAGAGGTGAAAACTGCTCCCTAGGGGAAGGCAGCTAACATACAGGGCTTCCTGAGGATCTCTAGTTAATATCTAGGTTAGGGACATAGTGTTTCATAGCCTCGCTTTAGTGACACTGCACTGGGATGGACACTGGGGGCAGGGACGTGATCTGTGTCCAGAACAAAGAGCCGTTACACTTATCAGGATCCTGCTAGGCTCTGTTTATACCTTCCAGGCCTATCACAAAGCTTGGAAGCAAGGGCCATAACTAACCAGAGTGGAAACATGCATTAACTCATTTAACGAGTTAACAATTCTGTGATTTGGGTATTTAATTACCCCCTTTTTATAGGTAAGGAAAAAAGGTGGAAGGAAGATGTAAATTCAGGTGCTATAATGTTCTTAACCACTATGTGAAAGCTATGGACAGTTAATTCTCGGAGTGACCGAGAAGTTTTGTTAACATTGTTAGCTAAAGATCGGTTGAGAACATTTCTTAGGAAGTCAGAATTCTTGGTTTCTTCTGTCACTTTATCTTGAACCACTCACTTATTTTGCTTTTCATGCTTTCACTCAAGGGAGGGGAGTACAATATAAACACATGCCAAGCCTATCACTCGCTTCAATCCAAGTATCATATTGTTTACTGTCATCAATAAACATTATAATCAGAATCTCCCAGTTCTCCAGAAGGATTTTCTTCATTCAGATCAACTGTGTTTCTAGCATGTAGGTCACTAGGCACAATTTCAGAACTTTCAATCTTTGATGTCATCTGCCCCTGGGAGGGGGGAGAAATGCAAGTACACGTCCCACTGCTCAAGGGATAGCCCATCCTCTTTGGCTCCCTTTAGAAATTTCAATAGGAAAGCAAGGGATTCCAAGGAACCCCCTGTATCTGGAGAAATAGGATATCAACTTTGCTCTCTGTCTTACCATATTCCATCTGGGATTCTACTCATCCATCTATTGAATAAATATTTGAATATTCTACTATGCGCAAGACTGTTTTTCGAGAGGCAGAGCTCCCAGCCACCTTACCACTTCCTCTAATTGCTTTTAATTTTGCCTTTTCGGAAAGGCAAACTACTGGGGTCGTAGGATTTGAAAATATCCTTTTGGTGGTTGGTGTTACTTCCCCAAAACACAGCTCCCAATGTTCTGGGGAGTTAATGAGGTAGGAATATAATATAAATTTTCCAAAAGAGCAGTTATTTTAAAAAGCCTACTTATGATTCATCTCAGAGTGAATTGATATTGACTTCCCTTAATATTTCACCCAGGCTGATATAGAACAAGTTTTCGTTCCCTGAGAATCTGATCAGAGGGGCACCTGGCTGGCTCAGGTGGTAGAACATATGACTGTTGATCTTGGGGTTGTGAGTTTGAGTCCCACTTTGGGTGCAGAGGTTACTTAAAAATAAAATATTTAGGGGTGCCTGGGTGGCTCGGTCGGTTAAGCATCTGGCTCTTGGTTTCGTCTGAGGTCATGATCTCACGGTTTGTGAGCTTGAGCCCACATCGGGCTCCATGCTGAAAGTGCAGAGCCTGCTTGGAATTCTCTCTCTTTCCCTCTCTCTGCCCCTTCCCTGCTCTCTCTCAAAAATAAATAAATACACATAAAAAATTCAACGGTGGAGGAAATAATCTCAGATAGACTATGTCAATGTTCTGTATTAATAACCATTCTCATGGAATGGAGTTTCCTCGCTTCAGTGGGGAGACCAGTAAAAAAAAAAAAAAAAAAAAATCATGTCGGGGCGCCTGGGTGGCGCAGTCGGTTGAGCGTCCGACTTCAGCCAGGTCACGATCTCGCGGTCCGTGAGTTCGAGCCCCGCGTCGGGCTCTGGGCTGATGGCTCGGAGCCTGGAGCCTGTTTCCGATTCTGTGTCTCCCTCTCTCTCTGCCCCTCCCCCGTTCGTGCTCTGTCTCTCTCTGTCCCAAAAATAAATAAAAAACGTTGAAAAAAAAATCATGTTTTATTTTCTGGGGTGTAGACAGACAAGAGTCTATTAAGAACTAATGAGCTGGGGTGCCTGAGTGGCTCAGTCAGTTGAGTGACTGACTTCAGCTTTGGTCATGATCTCATGGTTCATGAGTTTGAGGCCCACATAGGGCTCTGTGCTGACAGCTCAGAGCCTGGAGCCTTTTAAGATTCTGTGTCTTCCTCCCTCTCTGCCCCTCCCCTGCTTGCTCGCTCTCTCTCTCTCTCTCTCTCTCTCTCTCTCAAAAGTAAATAATAATAAAACATTTAAAAATTAAAAAAAAGAAATGAGCTCTCATTTAAATGCTTAATAACACATTCTTTAATTAACACATACATATAGCACCTAATTTCATGTCACGATTAATGTGTCATGCTCCAGGTTCAATGCTGTGGCTAGGACTTGTGGGGAATTCTTACCCTTGAAGAATTTACAGTATAACTGAGAAGTCAAGATTTTAGGCAATACAAGTGATTCCCAAACCCAAAGTAATCCCTCTTTTGATAGTCCATAGCATTTTATTTGGACTTTCGTGATAATTATATTTTGGCCTGTAAGCTCTTGTATGTACGTACCACGAGCTCTTAACTCATTGCAAAATGCTGTAGACATGTGCTCAATAAACAGTAATTGACAGACTACATAAGAACCTATAGGTAAGTGTGGAAGGTGTTTGCCATTCAGCAATGATTACAGTATGTATTTTCTAGGATGAACTCAACATCATAAATCCTTTAACAACTGAATATGAAGCAGTACAGTATAGTAATTAGAGCATGGTTTCTGGATTTAGTCTGCTTGGATTTGAATCCCAGTTTTGCCAGTCATTAGCCGTGTGACGGTAAATAAATTACTCACTTAATTTCTCTGTGGCCCAACCTCATATGTAAAAGTAGGGTATTACTCTTGTTTGTGGTGAAGAGTAATTGAGTTAATATATGCAAAATGTTTACGAAATTGCCTGGGACTTGGTAAACATTTCCAAGTATAAGCTATTGTTATTATTGAACTGGTGCCTCTTTCCCGAAAGGACCAACAAGAAACGTCTTTGTCAGTACATGTGTCTTTTGCTTCAATAAACAGTAGTCATTATGTTTGTTCAATAAACACACTAGTCATTAATCTCTAGTTTGACAGAATTTTCTTCAGGTTCAGGCTGAGAAAACTGGGGCTGTTTAAGGTTACACAGCATATTGAGGTCAGATCCAGATCCAGAAACTATTCATTTTTGGTCTTTTCGTGATCAGAGAAAAACACTTGTCTCCGAAGGGCAACACCTTTTTTAGGGGATGGAAACAAGGTGCAGCAACGTCCCAATCTTGCAAGAACGCGGCAACTCCTTGAGCCCAGAACACCTCGAGCGCAGGCGCAGCTCCCGCTCCGGCGCTCTCTGGCGCGTGACAGCCGTGCGTTCCACCCTACCCCCAACGCCTCTTAGTGCGCACGCGCGCAGTCTGTACTCTCCCCCTGCCCTCCTCCCCTCAACGCGCACGTGCGCGTTCGCGCCGCTCACACTTCGGCTGAGGGCGCGCGCCCTGGAAAATTCCACACCCAAGCTAGCTCCACCCTTTGCGCCCTTTCTTCAGCCCCCGGCTCTTCACTCCTAGTCCCCATCCCAGCGGCCTTTGCGGGAACAAAATGGCAGCCCCCACGCTGCGGGGTTTGTGTTGTTTATCCAGAGCTTTAGGATGGTGGTCTCGGCAGGTGGGTAGGGACTGGATGAGTAGGACTCCTGGGGCCGGATGAGGCCCACAGAGTCGAGGGGGATACTCGCTTTGCACTTGTCGTTGGTGGGCTTGGGCGATACCAGTCACACCTAGCTACGAAAGAGTTGGAGGTAGACGCGACCCAACGACTAAGCTAAGTGGCGGGGTGGGGCGAGCCCGGGTTAGGCCACGAAGACGGGCAAGTTCTCGGAGATGAACTTTCTCCAGTTCTGCGTCTGTTTGGCGTGGGGGGTATTAAAGGGTAAAGAAGTAATGATTTGGAAGTTGGGCTCGCTACCCCCTTGGTTCTTATAAATACCTTACGTTGAACAGCAGCTGAGAAGGAGGGAGTCTCCCGTTGTCCGTCTGACTGAACAAACCTCACGGTCATAGAGAAAAGAGATCTGGCCTCTAAAGAGGTTACTGATCATTTGGGAGCCAGAATGACAGAACAAAGTTTACAGTTAGCCTCCCAGTGGAATGAGCAGTATGTTATCTGAGTAAATATAAAGGAGATGCCAAGAACAGGACTTTTCTTAGGCTTTAATAATAGCATTCCTCTCATTTCAGTGTTGGGTTGATGTTTAAGTTTCCTATGGGATTGAAGGTTCTTTGAGAGCAGAAGTCTTGCTTTAATCAACCCTGCATCCCTGGGACTTGGCATAGTCGTGTGCTAGGGGAAAGCCTTTAGTAAATGTTGAGTGCTAATAAAGGTTGCTGACAGGCTTCTTGTTAAGACACCCATAAGTGGTCCCTGCCCTGGTATGTGGCTTTATAATTGTTTCTGAGTCATTCTTTGAATATGTCCTTTCTATCTTTGCTTAGAGTTTGTTCAAGATAGATTTCTTTCCAGGTTACCTTCATCCTAACTTTTTCCTGTCTTGCAGCCAGTCCTGGTGACTCAGTCCACAGTTGTAGTTCCAGTGAGAACTAAAAAACGTTTCACACCACCTACTTATGAACCCAAATACAAATCAGAAAAGGAGTTTATAGAACATGCCCGGAAAGCGGGACTGGTCATTCCTCCGGAGCGTTTGGAGCGTCCTCTGCACCTGGCCTGTACAGGTGAGGCCTGGTCTTTCTGAGACCTTGACCAAATCTCCTGTCAGAGATATTCTGGAAAGTGGAATGATTTGGACTGTGATTCATTGTATTTAACTGACTACAAAATCAGTTCAGCCCTGATAAGGATTTACTTTATGTACACCATATTTCATGAGGTCATCTTTGATCTTGTTTTCACACTGTTCCTAGAAGTCAAGGGTGAAATTGCTCTATTTTGTACAAGAAGAAATTGAGGCTCTGAGAGCCTTAAATTATCTTATTTTTTCTTTTAATTTTGGGGTTTTTTTTAATGTTTTTATTTATTTTTGAGAGTCAGAGACAGACCGAGCGTGAGTTGGGAAGGGGCAGAGAGAGAGGGAGACACAGAATCCGAAGCAGGCTCCAGGCTCTGAGCTGTCAGCACAGAGCCCGACGTGGGGCTCGAACCCATGAACTGTGAGATCATGACCTAAGCTGAAGTTGCATGCTTAACCGACTGAGCCACTCAGGTGCCCCAGTTTGTTTATTTTGAAAGAGAGAGCGAGAGCGCGCGCAAGCAGGGGAGGAGCAGAGGGAGAGAGAGAATCCCAAGCAGGCTCCTCGTAGTCAGTGTGGAGCCTTATGTGGGACTTGAACCCACAAACTGAGATCATGACCTGAGCCGAAACCAAGAGTTAGAGGCTTAACTGACTGAGCCACCCAGGTGCCTCTTACTCTGTTTTTTCTAATGTAACATAGTTCCCTCTACACGGAAGTCTACTTTATGTCCATGATACTTCTCAATTTTATATGACCTCAAGATGACTTTTTAAGCTTTTGATGCCTTGTTTTCTTCTTTCATTACAGCTGGTATCTTTGACGCCTATGTTCCTCCAGAGGGTGATGCTCGCTTGTCCTCTCTCTCGAAGGAAGGACTGGCACAGAGAAGTGAGCGGTTGAAGAAGAAGGTGACCTCCCAATTGTCGTAGGTGTCAGAGACAACTGGGAATCGATATTAGAATACAAATTTCTTGTTGCTGCTTTATTCCAGCGAGGCCATTGTAGGTTAACTGGGTTGGACATAACTCCCTTGATGACTTGACAGTGTATTTTTTTCTGTAATAGAATTTAGTTAATGTTGAAGAATATGGGCATTTTGATTTCTTAGCATCTCAACCTTTATTGGTATTTTTTGTCACATCAGTTAGGGAGTGACTTAGAAGTTTGTAGAACACTTTTTTGATCACATATTTTAAATTTTAAAGTAATAATAAAAGCATCTTTCTTTGAGAAGTACCTTAGAGTTGGAACTACAGAGAGTAAAAAGTCAAAAAGGGTCAAGAAGACAGACCTGGCCTATGGAGGTAGCTAGGTCTTAACTAAGGAGCAGAAGCCAAAACCTTCTTAGTCTTTCTTTTAATTGAAAGGATGGAAACGTTTATATTTGTCACTCCAAAGTTCTTTAGGGTCATTTATAAATTTCTGTGCACAGGCTTATTGAGTCATTGTTAATACTTCATGTGGCCATAATTTACTTCTCTAAATTCACATCTTATCACACCACCTTTCTGTTAAAACTCTTTTATGTTTCCTTATTACCTGTAATAAAATCCAGACTTCTTCAGTGGTATTCAAGGCTTTTTGTAAATCTGGTTCTTGCTTAACCTTTCTACTGTCATCTTACTCCATTTTTCTCATCCTAAACTTCACCGTTTCCAAACTAATTGCCAGTTCCTTGACGGTACTGTGCTATGACTGTGTTTTTGCACATTCTTTCCTTTACCTGAAAAATGCCTTTTTCCTCCTTTACTTGATAACTCCAACTCATTTCTCAAAAATGAGTAGAGCATCGTGTCTGCTTTTCGTCTTTCCCAGACTCTTTTTGGAGCTGCCTTTACTGTAACTGTAACTATACACTTCTAGTAATTGTACTGCGATGGTTTCCTCTCATGTATTTCTCTCTGGGACTGTGCTCTCTTTTGTGGTAAGGTCCATGATGATGATGGACAAAACACATGTGATTTTATCATTGAGTTATCATTTAAGGGAGGAAAACAGCCATTAAATACTGATTACACACAGTTAAATAATTATAGGTGTGGTGAAGTAGGGGTGTTACAGGATCATATGACAGGGAAAGATAACTTGGTTTAGGAGCTCAGGGAAAGCTTCCCGCAGGAAATGACATTTAAAGGTGGCGCCTAAAGAATTGCTTGCAGTTAGCTGGGTAGAGGGGTGTGGTAAGGAAGAGCATCCTAGGGAGACAGAACAGCACAAGCAAGGCTCTCAGGTGAAAACAGTGTGAAGTGGGTGTTGGATTTTGTCAAATGCTTATTCTGTCTGTTGAGATGATCATGTGATATATGCTTCTTTAGTCTGTTGACATATTGTGTTACGTTAATGGATGTTTTAATGTTAAGCCAACCTTGCATTCCAGGGATAAATTTCAGTTGGTTATGGTGTCTCTCATCCTTTAGTATGTTCAACACTTTGATTAGATCCGAATTCTCTGTTTACATTATTATAACTATGAGAATATTGTTGACTGCTGAGTCATGCAGTACATTATCATGACTTTTCCTGCCTAATATTTCTTTTCTGGAGTTAAGTGTGAGTGTTTTTTTGTTTTCTGTTTGTTTTTCTTCATTTGCTTACACAACCTCGCATTGTGCAAATTTCTTCTCAATACGTTGAAAACATTAAGTATTTATCAGTTTCATCTTCAAGAAGAAATCCCTCCAGGAGTTTTCTTACCTGCTTTCAGTCTGGACTGGTTGCTTTATTATGATTATTATGATTATTATGATTAAATGTTTTCATTTTATTTTGGGGAGAGCGTGAGGGGGTGGGGGACAAAGGATGGATCCAAAGTGGCTTCTGTGCTGACAGCAGAGACCCTGATGCAAGACTTCCAACTCATGAACTGTGAGATCATGACCTGAGCCTATGTCAGATGCTCAACCAACTAAGCCACTGGTTGCTCCTGGACCAGTTGCTCTATAGGCCCACTGTACATCTTGGGATCTACTTTTCTCATCATCTTGATAACTCCTTTTGTCTTGCCCTTGTGTTGTGTTCCCTGTTTCCTGGATCTTATGTGTGTCTTTCATAGTTTATTCTGTTATGTTGGTGGAGCACATTCCCCATCAGCTTCCTGAGAAAGAGGGCATGGTAAATAAATGAGATCTTTCAAGTCTAAGAAAAACTCTTTTAATTTTTTTTTTTAATGTTTATTTATTTTTGAGAGAGAGAGAGAGAGACAGAGTGTGAGCAGGGGAGTAGCAGAGAGAGAGGGAGACACAGAATCTGAATCAGGTTCCAGGCTCTGAGCTATCAGCACAGAGCCCAATGTGGGGTTTGAACCCATGAACCGTGAGATCATGACCTGAACCGAAGTCAGATGCTTAACCAACTGAGTCACCCAGGTGCCCTAGGAAAAGCTCTTTTGCTTACTCTCCTATTTCATTTATAATTTGCCCAGGTAAAGAATTCTGAGCTCAATAATTTCCTCAGTTAAAAGCACTGCTTCATTGTCTTTCTAATTTCTAATGTTGATGTTATTCTGATTCTTGAGTCTTTGTGTGAAACCTGTGTTTTCTTCCTTAGTGTTTATAGGATGTTTTCTTTGATGCCAGAATTCTGAAATTTCACTTTGAGAAGACTTGGTCTTTCTTTAGCATGATTAAGTGTGAGTTAGAAGGTTGAATTTATAGGGCTTGGCACATTCAGAATTTTTGAATAAGTGAACAGACATTAATGGAGGTTAATGTAAGCTTTGAGTTATGGATATTGTATGCAGTCTTTAGAGATGATTCTTGGGGTGCCTGGCTGGCTCAGTTGGTAGAGCATGCAGTTTTTGATCTCAGGGTCGTGAGTTCAAGCCCCAGTTGGGCGTAGAGCTTACTTAAAAAAAAAAAAAAATAGGCAGCTGGGTGGCTCAGTTGGTTAAGCATCCAACTCTTGATTTCAGCTCAGGTCACGATCTCACGACTCATAAGATCAAGGCCCACATCAGGCTCTGCACTGAAAGCGTGGAGCCTGCTTGGGATTCTCTCTCTCTCTCTGCCCCTCCCACTCTTGCTCACTCTCTCTTTCCCTCAAAATAAATAAATAAGCATTAAAGAAAGAATTCTTATACTTAATTTTACAGAGTCCGGAAGATAAGAGAACATGATCCTAATTTCAAAATAAAGGACTTCCCTGAAAAAGCTAAGGATATTTTTATTGAAGCTCACCTTTGTCTAAACAAGTAAGTGAACTCGTATTTTATACCTGTTATGTTTTTAGCAGTTATTCTAGGCACAGATTTTTTTTTTTCCTTTGGTTAAGAGTTCTAGAGTGACCCGGGTATCTGAGTGACTCAGTCAGCTGATTTTGGGCTAGGTCATGATCTCATGGTCAAGGGATCAAGCTCCGCATTGGACTCTGTGCTGAGTGTGGAGCCTGGTTAAGATTCTCTCTCCCTTTGTCCCTCTCTCCTGCTCGTGTATGTGTGCTCTCTCTTAAAAAAAAAAAAATATATATAGATTGATTGATTGAAGAGTTCTAGAGTGACGTACATAGGTCTAGGTGTGTGTTCGAGCCAGCCAGTTTTTAATGTTAATTTCTTATCTTAGGAATTCTTATACAGGTATCATAAATTCTGTCTTCACATCTGAGCATAATGTGGGCTTATGACTTTATTAGCTGCTCCCACCGCCCCCATACACGTACCCAGCCAGCCCTAGACAGAGAGAAGCTTTAGTTGGTGAATATTTTTGTAGTCTCCCTTTGCTGCAGGTGCAGGATTCTTAAGGGTCCTAGCTTTGTGCAGGGATCTCAGTTCCAACTTCCTGTTCTTTGAGGGTTCAAGGATTTAGGAAGAGTCTGTTCCTAGCCATCAGATCCTGTTTCTTTCTTTTTTTTTTTTTTAATTTTTTTTTTTTTAACGTTTATTTACATTTGAGACAGAGAGAGACAGAGCATGAATGAGGGAGGGTCAGAGAGAGAGAGGGAGACACAGAATCTGAAACAGGCCCCAGGCTCTGAGCTGTCAGCACAGAACCCGACGCGACGCTCGAACTCACGAACCATGAGATCATGACCTGAGCCGAAGTCAGATGCTTAACCGACTGAGCCACCCAGGTGCCCCTGTTTCTTTCTTTTTTTAAGTTTTTTTTAACGTTTATCTTATTTTGAGAGAGAGTGAGAATGAGTGGGTGAGGGGCAGAGAAAAAGAAAGAGAGAATCCTAAGCAGGCTCTGTACTCTGCACTCATGAACTGTGAGATAATGACCTGAGCAGAAACCAAGAGTCGGATGCTTAACTGACTGAGCCACCCAGGTGCCCATCAGATCCTATTTCTAGATCCCTTTAATCATCCCATATGCTATCATGGTGTCAAGTTATATTCCTTCCATTCTGGTTTTAGTTCTCTTTCCTTTTGGCATCTAGTGACTTACCTTTCTTGTGAAGTAGGCTGGAGAGTTTAAAAATGTATGGATGTTTGTGTGTATTCTATTCTGTCCCAACATTTCTAGATGTTTATAGTGGGAGTAGTTTTATATGAGCTCAGTCCATTGTGTTGTTAGAAACAGATGTCTTCCTCTTATTTTTCAGTGTAAGTTTTATCGTAAATGGTAAGTGAACTCTTAGACAAGGGAATTTATTTCCACTGAAGATTTTTAGGTCAGGATAGTGAGGAGGAAGAGTTCATTGAGAGGTGCCCGGCCTGGTGGTCATGGTAGCTGTCACCACAACTCAGGTTAGTCCAGTCTAGTCTAGTCTAGAGCTACAGTGGGGGAAAAGACTTGAAATCTTTTCTTTTGTTAGGAGTAGAGGTGGAGGCAAAAGCACATGGATAAAACTAATCCCATTCTAGCATTAGGGACAAGATTTAAAAAAAATTTTTTTTTTTAATGTTTATTTTTGAGACAGAGACAGAGCATGAGTGGGGGAAGGGCATAGAGAGAGGGAGCCACAGAATCCAAAGCAGGCTCCAGGCTCTAGGCTGTCAGCACAGACCCTGACATGGGGCTCAAACCCACAAACCATGAGATCAAGACCTGAAGTTGGACACTCCACCAACTGAGCCACCCAGGTGCCCCAGGGACAAGATTTTTTAAAGGAACAAAGACTTAAACTTCCCAGGAGGTATTAAACTGTGGGGAAAAGTCATGAATGTGGATCTGAAAGACATTAATCCATGCATGACCTTAGGTTTACTTGAAGCCTGTCTGTTAGGAACCTCCTAAAATTCTGTATGTACAGGAGCTGGGGTTTGCTGTCTGTTTTCTTACTATTGCTGCCTACTGCATAGAATCAGCATAACAAGTCACTGTGGTTGCAGCAAAGGTGGTAGGGGAGTGGAAGGAAAGGACCAGAAAAGACCGATGCTTATCTTTTGGTTAGGTTCACAGATAAGAGTGTAAGAGATGAGGTATCTGATTGGCTTAGTCGGAGGAGCATGTGACTCTTGATCTCAGGGTTGTGAGTTTGAGCCCCACATTGGGTGTAGACATTAATTTTTTTTATAAAAAACATTTTTAATGTTTTACGTTTGTATTAGAGAGAGCGCACATGTGTGGGGGGGGAGGGGCAGAGAGAGTTGAAGACAGACTCTGAAGCAGGTTTCAGGCTCTGAGCCATTAGTACAGAGCCCCATGAGGGTCTCAAACTCATGAACGGTGAAATCATGACCTGAGCTAAAGTTGGACGCTTAACTGACTGAGCCACCCAGGTGCCCCTAATTTGTTTAAATGTTTATTTATTTTTGAGAGAGAGAGAGAGAGAGAATGCACGCGAGTGGGGGGAGGAGCAGAGAGAGAGAGATACAGAATCAGAAGCAGGCTCCAGGCTCCGAGCTGTCAGCATAGAGCCCAATGCAGGGCTTGAACTCACAAACTGCAAGATCATGATCTGAGCCGAAGTTGGACACTTAACTGAGCCACCCAGGTACCCCGAGATTACTTTAAAAAAGGAAAAAAAAAAAAGAATAGTGAAACTTGCAAGGCCAGTCCATTTGGTATTGATGATGTGTTTGAGGTAAGAGAAGATGAGAGGAGCTTTTGATTTTTTTTATGATGGATCTGTGAGGGTCTCTTGCCCATCTTAAGGATGTATAGTAATTTCTGAGAAATTTGTTTCTGCTCCTGAGATTCAAACATAACTTCAACTTGCAATTAGATCTCAGGGTATTCTATTTTTTAATTTTTTTTTTTTAATGTTTATTTTTGAGAGAGAGAGACAGAGCATGAGCAGGGGAGGGGCAGAGAGAGAGGGAGACATAGAATCTGAAGCAGGCTCCAGGCTCTGAGTTGTCAGCACAGAGCCTGATGTGGGGCTTGAACTCACGAACTGCAAGATCATGACCTGAGCTGAAGTCAAACAGTTAACCAACTTGAGCCACCCAGGCACCCCCCCAGGATAGTTTTTTTTTTTTTTTTTTTTTTTAAATCATGTTCATCTTTGTGTGCCCAGGTAACTTAGCACGTTACGTGGCTTACAGTATGTATGCAGAGAATGTTTGTAAAAAGGAATTGTTTTCCATTTTGAGGGCTATTTTCAGCTTTTGTACAGTGTCATAAAGCAAGAGCCAATGATCTGTATCTCTTTCTTTTTTAGCTCAGACCATGACCGGCTTCATACCTTGGTAACTGAAAACTGTTTCCCGGTAGGTTCTCAACCTCTTTAGAACTGTGGGAGTTCTGAATGGATAGATTCTAGACATTACCTTTGGGTTCTTAAGAAGGGCCGATTTTGAAAGTACTGGAAGTTTAAGGCAAATGCTGAGGTTCCATTGTTTTTTGACTGAATGGTACTGACTTGACATGGACTTTGGTAAGGGCCAGGCAGATGAGGTAGGAGGAAGTCCCTCAGCAAGCAGTACTGAAACCTCAGGGTATGGATGCTCAGGTCAGGGTGTGGACCACGTTAGGCAGCCCTACACACGCCTGCAGTGTAATAAAGGATTTAGCATTTACGAGGCTTACATTTTGTGTTAGCCAGGGTGCTAAGGTACTTTGGGAGACTTCCCAATATTGGGACTTTGTGGTTCAAGAATAAGAACAATAAGAACTTCAGTTTCAATCAACTTAGCCTCATCTTCCTGTGGTCAAGTATAACTAATCTGGTCTTAGCAGTTTAGCCTTTATTCCCTATAAAATTCTATTCTTCACTGATACAAGGCAAGGGGCGGAATAAAACAACATACATGCAGTCAACAGAAACATGTACAAGAACTAGCAGATTATAAAAGTGTAAGGGAGGGGCCCCTGGAGTTGGTAGAACATGTGACTCTGGATCTCAGGGTCGTTAAGTTCGAGCCCCATGTTGGGTATAGAGATTACATAGAAATAAAATCTTTGGGGGGGCGCCTGTGTGGCTCAGTGGATTGAGTGGTCTACTTTGGCTCAGGTCATGATCTCATGGCTTGTGAGTTTGATCCCCGCATCAGGCTCACTGCTATCAGCATGGAGCGCATTTTGGACCCTCTGTCCCTCTCTCTCTTTCTGCCCTTCCCCGACTCGTGCTCTCTCTCAAAACAAAATAAATGAGTAAAATAAAATCTTTGGGGCGCTTTGGTGGCTCAGTCAGTTGAGCATCCGACTCTTGATTTTATCTCACCCATGATTCTAGGGTTATGGGATTGAGCCCTGAGTTGGGCCCTGCGCTGAGTGTGGACCCTGCTTGAGATTCTCTGGTTCTCTCTCTCTGTCCCTCTGCACCTCTCCCCAGCTCACAGTCTCTCTCTAAAAAAAAAAGTTTTTTTAAGGAAAAAAATTTTAAGTGTAAGGGAGGGGTAATGGGGTATTTTAACTGGCAGTTTGGAGTATGTTTTTCATTGATTTGGAGAAGGTTCCTTGAGGAGGTAGGTGGGTCTTGATTTGTTGATTTAGATGAAAAGAGTGGTTTCGAGGTGGACTTGAGCAATAAATTAATCAAAACTTGGAACGGTGGGATGTCTGGGTGGCTCCGTCGGTTAGGCCTCTGACTCTTGATTTCAGCTCAGGTCATCTCACGGTCGTGGGATTGAACCTGGAGTTGGGCTCTGTGCTGAGTGTGGAGCCTGTGTGGGCCCCTCTCTCTCCTCTCTCTCTCTCTGCCCCCCCCAAATAAATATTTTTTAAAAAAAACTTGGAAAGGTGAGAAAAAATAGGCACAAGAAAGCATTTGGTGGGAAATGTTAGGTGATGCCTGTAGTATCTCTGGAAGTGAGAATAGGTGTGTAATTCCAGAAGCACCAGCTTTCCTAAAGGAAAGTAAAACCCCGGTTGAATTTTTTCTCCTCTGCCCTCAGGACATGGTCTGGGACATCAAATATAAGACCGTCCGTTGGAGCTTCGTAGAATCTTTAGAACCGCCTCAGGTGGTTCAGGTTCGCTGTTCAAGTCTGATGAACCAGGGCAACATATATGGCCAGGTCACCGTCCGCATGCACACCCGGCAGGTAGAGGCACCAGTCTGCTTTCCTCCCAACTTTTCTTCATTCTCAGGTTGGGTATCTACCTCTGGAGTCCTGGGTACAGTTTCCCAGGACTGTGGGCTCTAAGGAAAGGTTCACCATGGTCTTCCTTGCTCTGTCAGGGTGCCCTTCCCACTGTGGATGTTAGCTCTGCTAAGACAGGTGTGAGGATACTCTCCCCCACCCTTCTTGATCCTCCCTCTCCCACCTTCCTATACCCTGTCCCCAGTCAAAAACCCTCCAAGAGTAAACTGTCAGTAGTTGATCACTTAGTCTGAATTAAGAATTCCAAGGTAATTTTTTCTACCCATTAAAATTTTTTGTTATTGTTGTTTCAGAATGGTTGTGTGGCATAGAAAAGGAAAAAAAAAAAAAAAAAAAAGCAAACCAACTGAGTACTAATAGGCCAGATTTGCTTTCATCTTTGCAGACTCTGGCCATCTATGACCGGTTTGGCCGGTTGATGTATGGACAGGAAGGTGTGCCCAGGGATGTCCTGGAGTATGTTGTGTTTGAAAAGCATCTGGTAAATCCCTATGGGAGCTGGAGAATGCATGGCAAGGTCATCCCCCCATGGGCACCCCCTAAGCAGCCCATCCTTAAGGTAAGTCGTGATTTGAGAGTGCTGTGCAATCTTAAGCCACTCCTCTTGGGCTCCTCCTAGTGGAGAAACGGGGTGATGCAGCACCAGGGAAGGGGAATCCTCCATAGAGGAGGTGGGGGTGAATCTCTCCTCCGTAAGTCATGGGCCTGGAAGGTAGATAACTCAGCTTCCTGCTCTTTCAGACGGTGATGATCCCTGGGCCCCAGCTGAAACCTGGAGAAGACTATGAGGAGCCACAAGGAGAGGCCCATAAGCTTCAGCAACCCTGATGGCAAAAATGACTCCTGGGGTGAAACATGGCTGATGAGATGGCCAGAAGCTATGGAGTCTGGGAACTGTGAAGTCAGTCATCTTTTCATCATGCTGTAGAAAGACCTACCTTTGTCCTCTCCTGTCCTGCTTGGGTGTTTTCAGCTGTCTCCTTGGCAACCACGGCTGATGGCTGGGCCCAGGTGGGTGGCTGATATGCACAGCCACGAACCCACTTCTCCCTTTTTAAACTGTGTTTCTAGCTGCTGAGTCTCAACGAAAGTACGTTTGGATACCTGTTTTTCCTGCAGCAGAGACTGGCAGAATTTTCTTTTTAATTACAAGGCAGGGATCAGAGTTTGAAATAAAACACTGTCAGGGTGTTGGACAAACTGTGGCGGGTTCTGTACCTCTCCCAGGGTTTACGCTGGAAGTAGACCAGCTTTCAGATGGCACAAATGGAAGGTAGGCTGAACTGAGCGATGTGACTTCCGGGAGATCCAGGTTTGGGACACATAATTAGCGTTCATTGAAGAGGGTCTTTTCTCATATACTGACTCACGTAGTCATCATTTGTACTTCGTAGAAGAATGTAAATCCAAAGAAATCCTTTATCTTTCAGCCTTTCGATCATGTTCTTAATTATCGGCCGCATCCTGGTGCGATCCCAGGAAGCATGGTAGGAGGCAGGGGCCATGGAGGAGTTGATCCATGTGAGAATTCCATCTGTAAGACTTCCCTGATTTCTAGCCCCCTTTGGAGATGGTGACCATGCTTTTCAGCCCCCATCGGTAAAGTGAACGTACTAGAATATGAACCTGTTGAGAGTGAAGCAGTCCAGCTCCTGCTTGTTCCTGGGCTCTAGCTGGGCTGTCCGGAGGAGGTTGTGGGGCTTCACCTGCTTGTGTGTCTGGGTCATCTGCGGTACGACCAGGGAAACCACTGTACCAGCAACAAGCTTGGTTTTTACTATTTATCAGCCCACTGGGGGCCCCCCTTAAAAAATAGGACCTTAATTCTCATACTTTGTATTTTTCAAGCCTAGAGTTTTCTTTTAACAAGTCTGTCCCTTAGGGTCAGGATTAATCTGTTCTGATCTTATCCTGAGAGCAGAATCCAAAGAAACCAGAATCATTTTCTAGTAACTGATGTAACTCCTCTACATCTAGTAACTGATGTAACCTAACTCCTCAGTCTCTCTACAACTACCGTCTCAGCAAGGCAGACAACAGACCAGTCCTCACTGGGGAAAGCTGATCTTTTTACAACAGCTGTTGAATGCAGACTGTGGGAACAAGATGTGTATGCCCCGGGGAGAGGCAGCACCGGCGGCTTAATCCAGAGCAGCCACTCTTTATCATATACCGTTTAGTCTCAGCCCTTTTGGCTTAAAATGTACATCAGTCTGCAGCATGTCTGAAGTGAGGTCTGGCCACATCCTATTTGCCTGAGCCCTGGATTAAGGCAAAATGAGAAGGCAAGTGCTTTCAGCAGGATCCACAGCTGGGGAGTATGGAGGAAGGGGAAGTAATCCAGGGAGGGCAGGGAAGCAGAGATGTGAAGAAACACGCTTAGTGGGCACATGACCGATTGATTTCTCTGAATATATAAAAACAGTGCTTCAAATAAGCTGTTTCATCCCACTCCCCTAGATCTGTCTCAGGGGTCTCTAGATAATCCTAAATAGCAGCTAAGCGGTAGCTGCCACCAGGGAGCCAGAGGATAAGTGCAATTTTCATTTCCCCTTGGGATCAAATCCAGCTGAGCAAATGGCCCAGATGTGAAGGATTTGCTTGAAGGGCCAGGCAGAGACCATCTGCAGTGCCAGCCATGGAGCTGGATACAGGCCGAGAATTAGCCAGACCACCTCGAAGTCCTGAAGGCCGCAGTGTAGTTACCTCCGGCTTGCTCTTGTTTGACCGATCTGTCCCTCTCTAAAAACGTTGGAAAAAAGAAAATCACCATAATGAATAAGCTAGAACCCACTGCTTAGTGGTCAAGAGAAAGCATTCTTTATTTTTTTTTCCCCCATGGTTTATTTCACAGCAGTGAAAGGAATCCCTTTTCTGTTCCCAGCTAGACCAGACACAATGGAATTGTTCTGTTGTGCGGTTAGCAAAAGTCTCACCGACTTAGGAGCAGTGAGGTTAACTAGCAGGAGCCCAGAGCAACACTACATTTTACTCCCCTGAAATCCCAGGCCAAGGGACCAGGTAAGTGGGAGAGGCTAGATATGGGAACAGGGGCATCTGGTCCCTGAATGACAAAGTTTTTCCATTCCTTCTTTTTGGAAATGGAGCATTTTGCTACTTCTGTAAAGTCCTGAATCTGCCTACAGTATTTGTATGCAGACTCCTTTTTTTCCTCCCCATTGGGTATTTGGTCTTCTCGTTTTGTCTTTTTCTTCCCCGTGAATGGCATCAGTATCTGTGCAGTTAGAGGGTGGGCTTACTGCCATCTTCAGTGCCCCTGCCCGGCTCAGCCTGTTTCCTCCCCCCACCTCACCCCTGCCAATTCTAGGGCTTTTTTGACCAGTGCTTTTCTCCTTGCTTGTTTCCCTCTGGTTAACATCCTCCTATTCCGGCACTGGTCTCTAGGATTACTTAAGCCGGGGTAGCCTGAACTGACTTGAGAGGATAGAGCCGAGCTCACTAAGAAGAAAACTGTGTTTACATGATGCCTTTTCACCGGTCCTCAGGACAACCTGCCCTGTAGCGCTACTCTTTCTGAGGGTAATTCTTGTGCTGACCGCAAACAGGACCTTCTTTCTCGCTTCTCAGGAAGGTAACTGTTGTGGGCCTCTTGTTACTGAGCAAGCGGTTTGGAGTGCTTCTCACATCAGAGCCAGAAATTCCCCTGCCTCCAGTTGCGTGGACAAGCAGAGAGGGGTCCCATTGGTGACAGCCCTGAAAGGCTGGGAGGAGAATGAGCCAGTGAGATGAGCTTGAGACTAGCCAAAGATGGGGCAGAAGTGGGGAGGAACGATTTGAAAAAGCTAGCAAGAGGCACACTCCTTAAACTGGAGGGGGTGTCTGGAAGGGAGAACTTTCCCTTGGCCAGTGTGGGGAGGACATGGAGCCGCTGCCTTGCCTTCTATGCCGTCTCTGGTGTTGCTTTGGATGCCAGATGTTGATAAGGAAGGAAGAGTGCTTGATTGGCTCTACCTGAGCAGCCAACCAGGGCAGGTATGAGGATCAACACAGCAGAAACTGGAGCTCCAAAGTCAAAATGACAAGGTCTTTAAGGCATTTTGGGTACTTTTTTTGAGCCATTAAGTTTCCCCCCTGCTCTGCGCTGATGGTGTGGAACCTGCTTGGGATTCTCTCTCCCTCTCTCTCTCACTCCCTCCCCTGCTCTCTTTCTGTCTCTCTCTCTCTCTCAAAATAAATAAACTCAAGGTTTTCCCCCTGATTTATCTTTGAACTTGAGTTAAGTGGCTTCTTAAGCTTCCTGTGATGACCTTTTATAGCATTCCTCAGACCCTAACGCTGCCAGTGCCTTGCATGGTTTATAGTTTCTTCTCAAAAAAGGGGTCTTTTTATGAGAAAATGTGGGCTGGGCACTGCTGACTTCCTTTCATCCCAAACACTGGCCTTATGAGTGTCCAGACACAGCTGTGTCGAGTCCTCTAGCCGGATGGGGGGACTCGTCAGAAGCAGAGGGTCTCGCCTTTGTTCCCTGGAGCAGGAAGAAGAGCGGGAAGTAACGAGAGGACAAGACTTTCTGTTGGGGTCTGAGCTGCACCCTTCTTGTACAATTTGTTGTCCGAATGATTGACTTCTGGCCTTCATGGAGAGGGCAAGTGGCCAAGTGTCTTTGACTCGGCTCTTGGGGAACATGGAGGACTTGGAAAGGACTTTGGCTCTTGAAAACCAGCCACCAGATGTCTGGCCTCACCCGATGGATCTGTTACTCGCAGTCCCAAGGATAGACAGTTGGAGGGGAGAGTTCTTCATATGGAGCTATAGAAGCCACTTCTTTGTCTTCAGCGAGGGAGGAAGACTCGTGAGCCTCAGCTTCTTGGAGACTTGGCTCTGGGACTGAGCTGGTCCTTGGCTCGTGTCCTGAAGCTCCTTGGAGTTCTCGGACCCCTTCTAGAGTAAAAGTAGTGGCTGCCTTGCTCCCCTCAGGGCGGGAGCTCTTGCTCTCTGGAAGGAAGCTACCCGGAGGTCTGTAGACTAAAAGGCATGGTGGGTTCTCAGGGGCTGGGGGGAAAAATATTTCTGTCTGAGTTGCTGTTAAAGCCAGAAGGCCAGATTCCTCAGGTGGGGCTCCGGTTCCCTCCCAATCACAGATGTCTGCCATGGTGCCCTTTATTTTATTTCCTTCTGGATCTGTGATTTCCCATCGACACAGCTCTGCCATCCTGCTCCCCATACTGCTTACTCCGTGGGGACTGACTTGGGGTTGGTCAGTGTCCAGAGCCTCTGGCTGGGGGAGGAGCTCCCCGGAACCTGAGCAGACGGTCGCCTGCTCTCTGCTGACTTTTGCTGCTGCTTTTGAAAAGTGTTCTTCAGTCCTCGGAGATGCCACCTTTTGAGGGATCATCTCTCCTCGCCCTTGGGATTTTCCGTCCACCTCTTGTTCCAGTCCCCCTTTCTCAGCAGCTTCTGTCTTCGCCTCCCAAGGGCAGATGTCTGCTTCTTTAGCAGATGGAGACTCTCTTGCTTCCCACGGACACACTTCTGCCACCCTGGCCCCCACACTGCCTGCTGCCTCCGAACTGCCTTCGCTTCTGGCAGAAGCTTGTGGGGCTGGTTGCGGAGACGGACCCCCACAATCCTGACTCTCCCAGGGACACACCGCCTCCTGTTTCCCATCTGCCCTCTCTGGCTTTTCCTGAACTGCCACAATTTGGGGCTCTGGTCTTCCTGGGACCTTCCCCTTCTCTTGAGGTGTCCCTTTCCCATCCTGTCTTGCCATCCCTTTGTCAGGGACCCTTTCAGTCACCTCCCAGGGGCAGATATCAGCTTTGGCGCTGCCATCAGGGTTAGGATCATCCCACGGGCACACCTCAGCAAGCCTGCCCCCAACGCCAGCCAGGTCCTGAGAGCCGGCCTTAGGTTGGTCACGGCATTGACCGTCCGGGTGGGAGGAATCACCTGCCGGGGTCATGCTCTCCCGTGGACGGACAGATTGTAGTTCTTTGCTTGCTTTCCCCCTATCTTCAGTAGTGAATTCTCCTGCTTTTGAAGACAGGGCTTCTACTGGGGTTCTGTGTTCTGGGAAGGAGCCCATCTTTGCATCTTGTGTCAGGTCCCCTTCCTCCACTGCCTCATCCCTCGCTTGCAAGGAATGTCCCTCTTTCATGTTGCCACTCGTGCTGAGGGATGAGTCTGAGACCTCAGGGCCCTGAGCAGAGGGAGCCCTCAAGTCCTTCTCCCAAGGACAACTAGCTTCCTCTTCTTGACTCTGTTTTGTCTCCCATTTTGATCTGTCTTCTCCCAGGGAGGTGAGTCTCCCCTTTTCTAGAATTTTCTCGTGTCCTGCTGAGTCACTCCCCCTTTCTTGTTCCAATCTTGTCCCAGTAGCTCCTTCGTTCACCTCCCAGGGACAGATCTTGGCTTTCTCACTGGTAGGTGCTTCCTCCACTTCCCAGGGACACACCTCAGCT